CTCCTCTTCAACTTTTTTTTCTCTCCGCGTCGAACACTTAATTGCAATACCCTGTTAATTGAGTTCGCTCGTAGACACGAACTCCTCTTTCGCGAGATTTTCGAAATACAAGCAGCATCCTTGCCTCGTTCGAATCGTCGGCGTAATTTTGCGAAAAATCAAGCGAGGAGAAATTTAAAGCAGATATATAACGTATTGTACAAATTGTATTGTCCTTTTTCGGATCTTCTCTCAAAAGGAGGAAAACCAAATTATATATTTACAACAATTACGTGCCTGTTGCTCATCATTCTCGTTCGAAGAATTTGTCATATTATTTTATATTGAAAATAACTAATTTTAATAGATATTTCATTCTGAATTTTGTAAAATGTAGCGATCATAAAATAAACATTCTCTTAAATGCATTATTGTCTTTTTATTCGCAGGATTTGGAATTGATAATACATAATAACAATGATTAACAAATATATAAAGAATTCACATTAACTATATAAATTCACTTACAAAAAAAACTGTAGATCTTTTTGCTATTGTTTTACACGCCAACACTTTGGTATTAGATATAAAATGGGATACTGATTGATGGAGAATTTATTATATGCATTTTTGTAGTAAATCTTATCTAGATTGTTTAATACTGAAAATGATTAATTTAATAGACGCTCAATTTTCCAAAGAAATAATAGAGCCAAACATTAGAACAGAGAATTAAAACTAATTAACAAGAACCTTAACGCTCGCTGTAAATTCACTTGCGAACAACTATCAAACCCTTTTACTTTCGAGTTTCGTGCAACCCCTGTGGCGTTGGCGCGCGACTCAAAATAATTTGATCCAACTTTCAAATATTTTTTCCCTTCTAACTCGCGACGATGTTTTAAATGCAATGCCCGTCCCAGTTACGTGAGACATCCTGTATGACAGTTGCTGTATATCGGTTCGTATTTTCTCTGTGCGCGAGTGGATACATACGTGTTCGTTCCGACCGGAGAACCAAGGGGAAATGCAATTTCGTCGACAAAACGCGAGTGAAAGAGAGGATGAAATGAGAGGAGAGAGAGAGAGAGAGA